GTGTGTGTGTGTGTGTGTATCAGAGTGTGTGTGTATGTGTGTGTATCAGAGCGTGTGTGTGTGTGTATGTGTATCAGAGTATGTGTGTTTATGTCTGTTTGTATGTGTGTGTGTGTGTCTGTGTAACAGAGTGTGTGTGTGTGTCTGTGTAACAGAGTGTGTGTGTGTGTGTGTGTGTGTGTGTTTGTGTATCAAAGTGTGTGTGTGTGTGTGTGTGTGTGTGTGCGTCTGTGCATCAGAGTGTGTGTGAAATAGTCTGGCACAGTCTGATTTCAAAGTCCGACGAAACAGTCTGGCACAATCTGACACACAGACACAATGACATACAGACACACTGACAAACAAACACACTGACACACAGACACACTGACACACTGACACACATACACACAAATACACAGACACACTGACACACTGACACACTGACACACACACACACTAACACACTGACACACAGACACACACATACACACACATACACACACATACACACATACACAGACAAACACACACACACACACACACAGTCAAACAGACACACACACACACATACACATGCACACACACACACACACACACACACACGCACACACATACACACACACCGGCGCTCCCCAGGCCCCTCCAAGGCCCCCCCGACGACCGGTACCGGCCCAGGCGAACCCCATTCGCGGGCCTTCAAAATACGTTCTCGGGAACGTGTTCTCGACCCATTCGCGGGCCTTCAAAATACGTTCTCGCGAACGTGTTCTCGACCCGTTCGCGCGAACGGGAGAACGCGTTCGCCCGAACGGAAAGGGCCGCGAACACATTCGCCATGCTACGCAAATAATAATAGTAGTAATAATGCAAGGAATATGAGTGAGCGTGATACACAAAAGTCTAAGTTACAATCAATCATGTAGAAGTCCAGGTAGTCATGTAACGAGTAGAGAGCTGAAATGCACCAAGATTTCATCCAAACGAGAGCGATATAGTGATCTCGTGGGCTAATGTCCAAACCCGCAGTCCATATTAATTCAGTATTCAATATTGCTCCAACTGCATCCAGCCGACTCTACTCGTCCCACCTATCCTACCTACGTTCTTGCAACAGGCCCACTTCGACTTCGAAGATCAATGTACATGATGTCAACACTAATGCCGACCTCACACATACACCAGGTAAGTACTCTCGATTCCTCCCATCAGTATTCTCAATTTATACTGTGCCTCCTTCCTGAAGAACACTGCCTCTCATCACCTCCTCGTATGCTGCAGTCCACTTATGGACGCGAGTGCCCTGCTGTACTGTTGCGCCCTACACCACTCAACATTTCAAGCGCACCCCAGCCAACATTGGCATATGCAGATTCTGGTGCGCTATTGCAACAACGTATCTGCATGGCCTGTCTAGGCCAGAATGTCCTGGACTGGCTGGCCTCCTCCTTACATGGGAGGTGCTGCTACTGCTGGATTGTTCGGGTCTGACCGTAGAGGTTTTCAGCAGCTTTCAGTGGAGGGCCGACATCTGCGCCCAGGCTCGTTTTAACACCCTTTACAGTTGGGCACACCCAGGATTTACCCAGGCTCTGTATGTTTGTTGTGTTTGCATTGGCATGCTGGGTGGATGTGACGACAATGTTGCATTCATGCAACATACTCACTCAGACTTTGAAGACCAATGTACATGACGCCTACTCCAAATTTAAACTGGCCTTCTTCATGCATCATGTACGTATCTCACCTCCTCTCATAAGACCCTGACCACCCACACATTATAGTTGGGGTTAAGGCATAATGATAATAATAATAATAATAATAACAAAATAATTGAAAACGGTTTTCACCTTAGCAGTAGCAGATGCATATCCCAGGGCTCGATCCGTAGACGTTATGCACCCGTGTACAGTATCAAGTCGACCCTGTATGTGTTTGAACCCGTGACCTGTGTTTTGGTTATTGATTGTTGTCTATCGTAGGTTTATGTTGCTGTCGGGGTTCAATCTGTAGGTCTGTCGAATAGAGGTCATAGTTGTGAGGGGCCGTAGCCACCAAAGTCCTGAAAGGTTAAGGTCGCAGCCGTTGCAGACCCAAAAGGCCGAGTCTACAGACTTCCAAAAGATCAGGAAGTGGCCTTTCGAGTGTTGCTCATGTAAGACCAGAGGGAAGTGGGCAAGAGGACAGTCTAGCTGTGTCAAGTCAGCATTACCCTGTCCCAGTTGCATTTCGTCCGGTCAACATAAGTATAAATCAAGAGGCAGCGTCCAATCATTCATTCATTATGTTGCAAGCCATGCAGAAGCGTTTCCCAAACGTCTTGTGCGAGGTGGTTTGCAGATGGCCGATGTCGGAGTGGGCTATTGAGGAAGATAGGCGGTCACAGCTGCTTGAGTTAATGTTAAGAAGTAGGCGGCCGCCATAGCTGCCAGTTAGTAGAGTTAGTATGCGCGTGTACAAGTTGTCGGGGATACAGTTGTCGAGGGAGAATCTTGGTCGGACGTACGTGCACCATAGTTGTTGCAGACGAGCTTGGATCTGAACTGTGTTCTCGACCGTAATATCTTTGAGCTTTGTGTGGGCGCCTAGCGCCAGTGTGATTACCATATGTTTCCATGCATGCTGAGCGAGTGAGAGATGGGCACGTTTGCCTAATAATAATAATAATAATAATAATAATAATGCAAGGAATATGAGTGTGAACGATCTACAAAAAAACAAGTTGCGAAATCACACAGATGACAAAGTAGCCATGTACGAGCATAGAGTACAAATGCAACGAGTATCCATCCAAATAGAGCAAAATAATGAAGTAATAAGCCAATGTCCAAACCCGTAGGTTACACCAACACAGTATCCAAAGTCGTCCTCTCTGTCTGACGCCCAGTGCCTATCCTACTCTGATCGACTATCCTACCTACAATTGTGTTCATGCAAACAGGCTCACTTCGACACTCGAAGACCAATGTTCATGATGTCAACCTCCATAGCTAACCTCTCTTCATGTACCAGGTACGTATCTCGTCACCCTCAATCAGACCTTGATAACCCCACTCTCGCCTTCTTCCTTGAAGACCACCAAATCATCCGTCTTCCCCCTAACACTCTAACTACTACATATAATAACTAGGATTAAAACATCATAATAATGATAGTAATAGTAATAACAAAATAATAATAATAATAATAATAATAATAATAATAATAATAATAATAATAATAATAATAAAAAAAAACTAAAGTAATAATAATAATAATAATAATAATAATAATAATAATAATAATAATAATACAAGGAAAATGAACGATAGCAAACTTCAGAAACCAAGCAGCATCATACACATGAGCCCAGATAGTCGTGACCTCGAACCAAAAGCAGAATTGCATCACGAGTCCTACCGAATAAGAGCACAGCAAAAACTCATAAGTGACAATGTTCGAATAGTCTCATCATCGTCAACAAGGAACCAATGTCGACATCCTATCTAGCGCTCG